CACCATGAAGAGAACTGGGGTAGGATAAAGGGTGTTGGGGAGATGAAGAAGTTTAAGCAAGTTTTCCAAGAAAAACAGTGCATTAATAGGTGTGACTGATTAGAGAGAGCTGCAGTCCATAATACGTGCAAGAGTTTTTGTGGAGATGCCCAGCAGAATTACAAAGGAGCATAGAGCTCAGAACTGGTGAGAGAAAAACAGAGGGCTAACAACAAAGTGCCTGACTGAAAGTCTAAAGAATAGAGAGGTAAGTGTTACACCTTCCTCACCTTCATATTTACAATGGCAGCTCAGCAACTGTGTACAAGAGAAAAATCTAGAAAGACTGCTTTCTCAAGATATTAACAGCCTGCTTGAGAGGACTGGGCCGCGATTGTGGTGCGGTACTGCAGTCAACCATCCCTTCGCCTCCAAGAAACAGTGGCAATGCTCCCAGGGCTCCCAGATCACTTTCCTGTTTGCAAACAACCTTGCTAAGGAGACAAACTCGTTTTCTACCTGATAACAGAGTAAACCTGCATTAGCCAGGTAGGATAACTGACCTAGGCCTCTATTCTTCTTTTTATTTTATTTTAAAGAACGACATCTCCACCCCTTTTAAAATTTTTTACAATTTTGAAACAGGGTCTCATTAAGTCACTTAGTGCCCAGCCTACACTCAACCCTGAGATCCTCTTGTTTCAACTTCCAAGAGTGCTGAGATACACAGAGGAGTGTCAATCAGTATCATTTCAAGATGGGATATTTAGTTTTTCATGAGTTACATAGTGCTTTGGAGCACCTTTTATGTCGCAAACACTGTTATAAGTCTACCTATGGGGTCTTGCTACGTTGGCCAGTCTGATCTTGAATTCCTAGGCTCATATAATTTCATGCAGGCATTAGTTTAGGTAGCTGGAAATACATTGGTGTCATAGTTACTTTTCTCCTTGCTGTGACAAAATACCTGACACCCAAAGTTGAGAGAGGAAAGATTTTTTTGTCTTACAGTTTATAGAAGTTTCAGTCCATAGTTGGCTGGCTCCAAGGCCAGGTGGCATGGCAGACAAGCGTTGCAGAGGAGAAAGAGTTCATGGCAGTCAGAAGGCAGCAAAGCAAGCAAGGGGCAAGACAAGCCTCTTTCTGTCCCTTACATTATATCCAGGCTACTGGAATTAGGGCAGTGCCAAACCAATCAGTGGACTGATTTAATTATCACCCATCCTTAATTCTATCACCTAGCATTGCAGCACGAATCAATCACATACTCTAGATCTAGCCACCTCTGAGAAAGCCCCAGCCATGACTGCATGAGGCCTTGTGGGACATCCAGACACAAGTCAGATAACTGGTGACCAAAACACATTCCCTTTTAAAATTGAACTTAACATTCTAGTTTAAGAGACAGACGTTAAATGAGGCTTGAAAAGAATTAAAAATAATAGAAGTATAAAAACTTGGAAGGGGGAATATAAATTTAGATATGAGTACTAAATCTCCCTGTAAGAAGAAATCAAGAAGAAGTAATAAATTCATAATGTCTACAATAGCATTGTCTAATGGTGGGAACGTTCTGTGTCTGTGGATACTTTTCATGGAAATGTTCTAAGTGCGTATCTGTGCTGTTAATATAGCAGCCTCTATCTGCGTCTTACTGTTGAGAACATGAAATGTGGGTCTTCTGACAAAGGAACTGCAATTTAGTTTAAATTTAAATTGGGACATGTGGAAAATAACTACTGTATTGACCAGTATAGTACAACATAAGTTTAAAATGAACAAGTCAAGAGGTAGCAGCATAAGCCCATTTTAAAAAGAATTAAACAGCAAACCTATTAATCACAGTTGCCTGTGGGTGGGTAAAGAATTGAAAGGGAGAATTCCATTATGAGCCATCTTGCACTGTTTGATTTTTGGCTGCATGCATATATTTGGTTGATTACTACTTAAACTTTTGGAAGACTAGATTACAACCAAATGGGTCTTTGAAAGGGAGTTGAGAATCATCCTTTTTCAAGTGAGATAAAAGTTATACTTGAAATGTCAATTCAAGTGAATAATTTGGCAAGAGTAGGGGATCTAAGCTTCAAATATTTCTTGTCAGCATGGGGCCTTCAGAGAGTGTTTCCTTGTTTGTTTTGAGCTAGATAATAAGGTAAAGTATGGTCAGCAAAGTGAACAGATTCAGCTACGGAAAAAAAGTTCCAAATTTTAAAATGTGTTCCTAGATTTATAGATCTGTGAGAACTAGTGCACACTAAAAAATATGGATCTGTATCTCTCCCTTGTTTTACCAAAACATCAAATATAAATCATCATGATTGCCCATGCCCGACTGGGGTGCATGGTCTTCCAACTTAGTTTACATTTGAAGATTGCAAAATATTTGTAATTATCTGTCAATACAATAAATTCTTTCCGTGAGTAGTTTCTGCTCTGTTCCAGCGACTGGTCATGCAGCTAACTTACTCACTCAAGTTTCTAATTTTTATTTATGGGAAAAGGAAGAATGTAGGGGAATCGGAAACTAAGTACCAGGCTTTGTTAAGTTAGGGTTACAGAAATGAGGGCTATACTTTCTAGACATGGTTCGGATGGATGGGTTTCAATTTATTACTTGTTTCCAATTTGAAAAGAAAATGTTTTAGAGTTTTGAAAGGTATAGGGAGAGTTAGGGAGATGAGAAAATGTTTCTTAAGAAGCAGTTTGAGCAAAATATGTAAATTTTGACAACAGATCTCTACCTTGCAGAGCCATGTCATTATTCAGCTGTAGATTTGAGTGGGCTCAAAGCTAAGTTATGGGTATGGGTGGAATAATCCTTTTCACTGCAGTCTTTTAAAAGTTCCATTGTAGTGCAGTTGGTAGCAAACATCAAGGAGCTACTCCTCATGATCTGGATCATTTGTTCTATGTTAGAGATACAACTGAGCGTGGCCTGGATTTGCTTCACGTTAGAGAAGAAACATTGAGTTAGAACTGCAGATTGATGTGCTCTGATGGTTAAATAAAACTGAAGCAAAGCAGGTCAGCTGCAGTTGTAGTAGCTGTGTTTATTTGCTCTCTAGAAATGGAAATGCCTTGAGGGGAGAACATATTTATTGAGAACAAGATATTCCTGATACTAGTAGGCTGTATCTAAGCAGTACAGTGTATATTCTTTGAAATGATATGATAATAGGCCCAAACCCAACCTCACCGTATAGAAGCAAAGGGATGTGTTGGGGCTGGGGGAGCCTACTCTGTTTATACAGGTTTTCATATGACCTTCCTTTTAAAAAGTACATGGAACTTATCCAAAACAAATAATGTTTTGTTAGATGAGAAGACCAAAAGGAAAAGCCTCCAGAAAGGAGGATGGATGATCTTCCTTTAATGTCAAAACTGACATAAACATACTCCCCTCCCCCCATCATTTTGCTCAAGATAATTTTCTCAACAAGACGCAGATTGCTTCAGTCTTTGCCTATCACTCTTTGAAGCGCTGTCCTTGTTATTAGCAGTGGGGGCAGGGTTTCCTTTGAGGATTTTTACAGCAGCGAAGAGCTCCTCCTTTAAATACTTTCACATGATGAGGGAATTCCACTTTCAAAGTGCTGTCATCCCTGTGGCTTCTCTGCCATAAGTTTATTCTTGGATGAAGGTGCTTCTTAGCTTGACTGTCATTAAGGACTTACCTTTCTGATGGATTCTCTTTCCATAGAGCTTTTTTTTTTTCTCTCAGAGATTTAGGAAAGCAACTCAGCAGTGTCCTTTGTTAACCTTATGGTTGATATTAGCCATGATTCTCTTCAAAACGGGTTTCTTCGGAAGTGATTAAAGTCTTCGACATGGCGGTTTTTCTTGTCAATCCCACTAGTCAAGAGTTGGGTGACATACCAAATAATGGGGAGAAATTAATTTTCTTGAGACTGCTAATGAGTCTCAGCATAATAAACTTGTGAAACGTTAAGAGTCTAGAAGATTAAGGGTTTTCAGGTGGTTTGTACCAATCCTGAGCTCAAATTTTGAAAATTAGATTCTTTTCCTCACAATGCAAGAGGACACTGAATTTGGGGGAATTTTGAAATGTCATTATTAGTTTTTAGTTTTAGAATTTTTTTTAGTGTCTCTTCCAACACTGAAATAGTTATAGAACATACACTCTGACTGTACACTCAAAAATTTGTGCAAGCTGGGCAAGGTTGTGCATGCCTGTAATCCTTGCACTCTGGGAGGCTGAGACGGGAGGATTGCAAGTTGGAGCCTGGGCAACTTAGCAATAACTTGTCTCAAAAATAAAACAGATCTTTAAAAGAGGGCCTGGGATGTAGCTCATCCTGAGTTCAGTCCCCAGTACTGAGTTCAGTTCCTAGTACTGCCAAGGAAGAAAACTGTGACAATCTGATGGCCCACTTTCCAATGGGTTTCTTAAATTGTGCATTTTTTTAAAATGATTAGAATACATGAGAATTGGAACAAGACTCCATTCAAAAGAAGAAGCTGAGGCACGCTGCTCCATACCTTTTTCCTAAGAAGTGAGAGTTTTCTTTCCCACAAAATATAAGCTAGGCTTTCAGATAAAGCTGCTCCCCAAAATTAGATTAAGATGCAGACAACAGGATATTCATCTTTTTATACTTTCATCATCCAAAGTACATACTGAACAAGCATGCTTTCTGAAGAAGCTGGAGTAATTTACAAGTTAATAAACCAGTTGACTGTGTTTTGGAAAAGTGTCATAATGGAAGATTAATAGTGCTTCGGAGACTCCGAAGACAAGAGAAAGAGTCGTAACAAAAAGATTTCTAAGTTTGGGGATGCTCTATAAAACTGTTGGATGGTCTAAAAATGTCTCATGAAGCTCAAACCCCCAGTGTGGCTATAATATAAATGTGAATAAATGGTTATTCTTTAAAAATAATTGTACTTTCACAAAATATATTATTCTTCAGCTTTTGATCTTTATTTTCGGTTGAAAAAGCTCTGTAAAATTGCATCCTAACCAAAGGTGTGTGTCTCTCCTCTCTTTTCTGCCCCAGGCTGGCCCTCGTTCCACGATGTGATCAGTTCTGAGGCAATCACATTTACAGATGACTTTTCCTATGGGATGCACAGGGTGGAAACGAGCTGCTCTCAGGTCAGTTAACCTGCCTGAAATCTCAGGAGGATCCTCACAGCCCTGCAAATACTTTCAGCACTCCTAGTTTTACAAAATACAGGTCAAGCGACTATTCATATGGACAGACAAACACAATGAATTCTTATCAAAGTCTGAATGATTCATCCATCTTTAGGTGTTAGGGTTAGAGTTGGGGTTAGGATTAGGGCATATCTAATAAAATATCAGTCCTTGGCTTCAATACTGTTAAATATTGTTGCTAGGAAGAAAAGCTTCATTTGATTCAATATCGCAAGTTGTGGGCTATTCTTGGGGCATCTGAAGATTTTATTTATATGGCCTTGTATAACTCGCTGTTTTGATAATCCCCACGTCCCTACAGTCTGTGGACCCACTGTTCAGTCCTGGTTCTGATGGCTGTGATATAAACACAGTCCATGGAGACTCCAGAACTGGCTTCTCTTGGGTGAATATTAGGAGGGAGGCTGAAGGAGGGCATAGGAAGCAGAAACTTATTTAGGCTAATTGAGGGAAGAGTGGGACTGTGACATCAAGTAATCCTTTTCTCTGCTTCTCCTGCTTTATAGACCAATCCTTATTTCCAAGGATGTTCTAACTATGTCAGTTCTTCTCTAAACAAATTAATGCTGGCTCTGAGGGTAGAAATCAACACATGTTGAGGAGGAGACAAGAATACTTTGTTGAGAACTTAAAATCTGTGGGCATTTTGTGCTTAAACCCAGAAATATAGCTGGAACTTCCATAGACACAGACTCAGAACAACTGCATATTCTCTACGAGGCATTCCTGATTTCTAATCTGCTTGAAATAAGCATAACGTAGTTTGAGCTGGAGCATTGACGTTCATTAATGCTACCCTGTTTTGTCTGGAAATGTCTGTCGCACGGAGCAGAGGTGAAGGAGGCACCGTCAGGCAGCAAAGTGATAGCCTCGGGTGCCTCCCTCAGGATTCTCCTGCTTGCCCTTTCTCCATTTTTCTGTAACCGCTCATCAAGCCCAAGACTTTAGGGAGTGGGTGGTGTCTTTACTACCAAGCAGAGGTGGGTTTGAACCTCCCCATCTGGTGAATTTCTGTTTTTAGTTTGTTTGTTTGTTTGTTTGTTCAAACAAGGCTGGCAAGCTCACTGTCTTCTAAATCTGAGGACCACTCTCTGTGGAAAAGCATATTTTGTCTAAGTCACACTTTCAGTTCACTCCTGTTCCTCAGAAATGAGGCCCTGAGCTTGACAATGGTATTTTGTGATGCCGAGTTCCCTCTGTAGAGGTTCTAATTGAATTCAATCCAGTGGAGCCTGTGTAACAGCATTTCTGGAAGCTCCCCAGGTTACTGCTTCCAGTAACCTTTTAAGGTAGGTATTTTTATTCTCCCTAGTTTTACAGTTCAGAGGGGCCGGGGATATAGCTCAGTGGCGCAAGCGCTTGCCTGGCAGGCGCGAGGTCGTGAGTTCAATTCCCAGTACCAAAACAACAACAAAAAACAAAAACAAACAAATATACAGTTCACAAAACTGAGGCATAAAGAAGGCAAATAGATTTAGGTAATAATATTCATTGACTCAGTTAAGATTGATTCAGTGCTATCTCCATGTTTCTAAGAAGTTTTACAGAAGATTTGCTCTGCAAGATGCCAAGCACACTGCTTGGTCATAATTAATAGAAAACCGCAAGACTGGGCGAGATTCCTCACCACTTTCCCTGTGAAGGAAATAGGCCACCCCTTGCATCCTGAGTTGCGTTGCAGTTTATTTGTTCCCTTGCTGTTCCATGTACTGAACTGAAAAATTGCACCCCAATTCTTTCTTCCGTAAAGCATCTTTATCGTCAGTTTACCTGCTCTGGTGGACACATGTATCTTCTCCTGGCCACAGCCGTTTTCTAACTATTTTCAATTACAAACAGTTTTTCTTAATTTCATTTGTGTTTTCAGCTTGTGATAAAATTCACTGCTTTTATTCCAGTTTTACTGACTACTGTAATTGTTTGACAGCATCTCCCTTAACCCTCCAACCCAACCTGCTAAGTGACACTTTGACAGGGGTTCAAATTGAGTGCATGGTCGAAGCTGGAGTCAGTCAAATAAGTTCCTCCTGGAAATAGTTGGGGAATTCTGCCTTCTTAAGATCAAAATTCTACATCTGGAGTAAATGGGAGACTAATAAATCATTTGCCTTTTCATAATAATCTTTAAGAGAATCATCAGATCCCCGAGTTTACCCTAGTTGGGTGTGTTTGTGACTGCTGCTATTATCACTTGAATCTATGGTAGAGCCCCTTAAGTTTGTCTTAGATCATTATTAATTTGTCCTTAATCAGCCAAATCAACAGAAAGGTAAATATCCACCAGTGCAATCTTTGGTAAAACTCCAAACCGTATTAATCTTCTGCAGATGACAACTCATGTATTGCTGATGATTAAAGATACCCATGTGTTACAATAGGGTTTCAAAATCACAGCCCATCTCTCTTTTTCTTGATCTTTCAGTAAAATCATAATGTTAAACTGGTGACTTCACAATCATTTCCTTAGCAAAAGATTAATACCGCAAGCACAGAGGAAAAGAGCCATTACCTACACACAAATGTCTTCAATAACAGCGGGAGAAAACAGAATACTACTGGCAAAGTAAATTGCATTTCTCCTTAAAACTATTTTCCTTCTCATCCTGCCCTATGTGCCGAAGTGTAAAAACCCCTCTTTGAAAACGCTTCATGGTGTAGATCAAACGCTAAGAGAAAATGACAATAATGAAGCGCAAACATCCTAGGAGCTGCTAGGAGAAAACCTTCTAGGACAGTGGGAAATACATCAGTGCAGAAATATGTAAGTGTGTTGAATGTACTATTTGTGTTTCTCAGGCACATGATTGAGAATTGCAGTCAGATTTAAGGAGTTATGTTAAATTTGATGCTCAATCACTTTTTTTAGGAGTTCCTTTCATTTGGTTCTCTGCAGGCTCTTGCCAACTTTTCAGAGTGGGAAGCTTTGATGTGAGGGATTACTGTGAGAATTAACATTTTTCCTTGAAACCGTTATCTCATGGTTCTTGAGTGAGGACTGGAATATTCAGGTCTGATTTATATTTACCTGTAAAATAAAGAACTGCATAACCATTAAAAGTAACTTTCAAAACACACATAAAAGATTCTATCCTGAAATAAATCACGACCAGCAGTTTTCAGAGATTTCTTCCCTGGGTATCCAGTTTGTTTCCGTTACAGCCAGGTGCGTGAGGGATTCCCAACACATTGCCAGTTGGCCCGGGCGGGAGGCAGGGCTCGCAGGCAGCTAAGGAAACAGTGCATCACTGACAACTTCCATTCATCATGCCAGCCTTGGGCCAGACCAGAAGCTGCAAAGAATGGGCTCCATGTGCTCTCCCCGCAGGAAGAGCCTGCAGTGCTTGTTTCGGGGAAGCTGGGTAGCAGGCTGCTATGGGAGACTGAGTGTACCAGAGGGGAAGCACATACGGTACCGTGTGCTTAGTCTTCCCCCAGACCGATGGCCTCGGGGCTTGGCAGGCAGTGGGTGGGCATGTGTGTGGTGGCACAGACTTTATAAATGAACCGCTGCCTATGTTTTGAAATGTTCCATGCTTGCTAACCTAATTCTGGTGTGAATCTTTCAGAATATCTTCTGACACTTACCTTGAAATGATCACTGTCATTTTTGAAGAGACTCACACTTTTCCTGAAGATTTCCGTGCCCACTCCCAACCTGTTTATTTGTTTGCAAATGATTTTTTTTTTTACTTTCCCTAATTATAATTACTTTTCCTAACCTTTTCTCCCCACTGTATTTCAAAGCAGTGTTTTTGTTTCCATTTAATAAGAAGACTAGTCCCAAATTAGTAAAGGAAATGACAGATTGAAAACTAACTCAGTTCAAGAATGAGTTAATTCAGATTTTTAAAAAATTACTTAGGAAACAAAGAGCATATAATTGACTCCTAAACAGCTCCAAGTATGTCTTTACTACACTTTGTTTTTGGAGTAATGCAAATAGAACCGTTTTCGCATTATTCTCAAGAGGTGATTAATAAAGGAAGACAATATGGTTTATTTTGCTCAAGTAGCGGCATTGTCTCTGCACACACGCACACGTGCACACACACACACACACACACACACGCACACTAAGGCTCCGATGTGAAAACTTCACTTCTCAGATGTCAGTGATCAAAGTGCCGGAGCTGCATGTGAGATTAATAATTGTGCGCATACGCTGGTCACTGAACGCGTTGGTTCCTCTTGGCCTGGCTGTTTCAGCAGGCAGAAATCGTTGTTTTCCTGTGTCCACTGGGTAAGCAGATGTATTTTTACTGGTGTATTGTAGCTGCTCATGCCTAAAAATTTGGCCTCAGTTGTTTCTAGAAAGGAAAAGCAGTCTGCGCTGTCAACTTTGATATTACCTAAACCTGCCTAGAATGTGGTCAAATAATGCAAGATTTGTTTTTTAGGCCTGTTTCATATTTTCCAGGTAATAGATCAAATCAGCTCAGGGTTCAGTTTTAGTTCTTTAATAAGCTGACACAGTATGTTGGCAGTAAAATAAGAATGCACTTTTAACATGGAAGTGCCAGATAGTCGGAGTGGCAATTTGTGCTATTTATTAACAAATAGAGAACTCTTGAGAATTGAGTTTAGCCCTTTCAGTGGCGAAACCCAAACGAACTCTCGCTCTGGTTCTTTCTGTCGTAACGAGCGCCGACCCCCTTCTCTCGCTCATCACCACCGCTTCGCATCTCAGCCCTAGTTCGTTGCCAACTTTCACTCTTTTTCCATACTTTGTAAGCACCTTGAACGCTGAACCAGCCCATGAGAAGAATTAATATATCATCTATAGGCTTTTTGCGCTCGTGTTCTTACCTAATCTTGATTTTTCCTCTCCTCAAAGCATTTCCCCTGGATTCTCTCTTTAGGTCTTATTTCCAAAGTTACCCAGGGAGGCCTGTACCTTCTTCAAACCTGTCTGGTTAACATCACAGTGCTACATTCCTTCCTTTCTCCCTGGCCTTGGTTCCTACCTACCGTACTTTTTCTAGTTCGCTTACTTTCTTGTGCATTGTCTGTTTCTCCCCCTAGAGGGTAAACTCTTTGAGGCAGGGATGGATCACTGCTTGTATCTCCAGAGTCAGTACGGTGCCTGGCGTGAAGCAGAAGCTCCATAAAAGTTGTATCGATGAACGGAAGTTGTTCCCTCCAGCCTTTGGGTTCTCTGTATGCTTTCACAACCTGTTTGCATGCAGTGCGCTAATGTGTCTATCCTCCCTTCTCCCGGCCCAGCCCTGCTGAGAGGGGGAAGACACGTAAGCGTGACATATCCCATCACTCATGTCCTGGGATCTGTCTAATGTGGAAGGGCTTAGCACAGGGCTTCATTCAGTGAGCCAGCCCTTTTGGAGACACTTTCTCTGCGCTAGATTTTGCTTAAACACCATCGAAATCAACAATCCTTTTCAGTCTTCCTAACCTCTGGGCCTTTTTCTCTTTCTTCAGCTTTTGGAATAGTCAGTAACATTGATTTCAGCTAAACAGCGTATTCCTTCTCCACCTACTATAGTTCACTGGGGTAAAGAAGCCAGCAGGACACTCCACTTATTAGAAGGGAGGAAAACAATAATTGTGTGAGCCAGGAACGCTCCTATTTGGTGCGCTTGCAGCCCCGGTCACTGTGACGTAAATCTGCTGAGCCTTGCCATTGCTTCCCCGGGTTCCGAGAGTATCCAGTGTGCGTCTGATGTTAAGTTTTAACTGCCCATGAACGCAAACATCACCTCCGTCGTGGCCAGTTCAACAGTATCTTTCACGATGGACTTCTGCATATCTGAAACCCACCCATCCGAAGCCAAAAGAAATGCCGGGGTTGCGGGGTGGGGGTAGAGGTGTCATTCTGCCATGTTTCTTACAAGGAGAGATCGAAGGTCAATTTCCATTCGTACAATTACCGCAGGCATTTTTCAGCCGGCCGAGAGACTTCACAGATCAAAAAATACAGCGGCTCTAAATGATTTCTGATACTCACAGTTCTGGTGTTTTTTTTATCCCCAGCATGTGGTACGACGCCTGCCAGAAACCCTCTCTCCAGCTATTGACATGTGGGTTAGAAAGGATCAGGATGCGCCGTCTCTGCGCAGGCGGGCCATCTGCGCACACCGCCTACCGTGCGTTCACCTCCCAGCCTGCTTTGTACACGCTCCTGCCTCACGTGCTCTTCTTCTCTTTCAGTGCGGAGCTCACCTTGGGCACATTTTTGACGACGGACCTCGCCCGACCGGCAAAAGATACTGCATAAATTCGGCCTCCTTGTCTTTCATACCCGCAGACGACGGCAGCGGCGCGAAAGGAGCCGGTGAGGCCAGCGGCCCGGCCCAGGCGGACAAAGCCGCGCTGTAGCGTAACGGAGCGCAGTGGAAACGAAGTGGACTTAATGCACAGCTTACCAGAAAATACCAAAATTGTTTATCTTCATAGATCTATTTTTTTCAAAAACTGTAAGGGAAGTGTTGAGCTAGGATATTTTTTCTGCTTTTGCTTAAACAGAGGCTCTCTCTGCCCATCCATGTATTTTGCTATTGACTAGATTCAAAACGGTGTACAGCTTTTGCAAGGGGAGTTAGCTTTGTGAAAGTTCTTCACAAGCCCCTTCGGCACTCCTTGGTGTTATTTTCCTTGAGCACCCACCTGCTTTTGAGTTTTGCTGTTGTTTTCCCCTTCATTAAGAAGCAGAGGGTGCCTGTTCTTCGGAGGTTAAGGGTGAGATCTCCTGCTCAGGGTAGGGGCCAGCGCTGGGCAGTGCAGGACCTTGACACATGGCCTATGGCACTGCACATATCTACCTAAGAGGAAGACTGATGTCTTACGAGACTTCTCAGCTCTGTGGAAAGTTTGAGCTAAGGTTGTTTTCTTCTCCTGAAAGAGTGCGAATGTCTAAAATCTTTCCTTATGTTAGATTGTTGCCAGATCTGAGGGGTGCGCTGAGAATCACGGCAGAGAAACATTACCTCACGGTCGGGTCCACATTTTGTTTTATTTTCCATTGAGAACGTTGGAATGTAAGACAACTGTAAGATTTGAGCCTCATTTTGTCTAAAGTTCAGGAGGAAGAACACCTGCCCGTGGCCTTTCTGTAAGACCTTCTCTTGACACCTAATGCCAGCCGCAACTAGAAGGGCATTTGAGTCAGTTCCTCTGCATCAAGTAAAATGCTGGGGACAGTACACCTCATCAAGTCACCAAAGGTGAGAGGGGAAGGTAGAGAAGACCAAGGATGAAGTCCTGAGTACTGAAACTTCCAGTGCCGGGCGGCAAAGCTGACAGGGCCCGGCAAGTCCCAGAACCCAGAGCGGAGATCTCATGACGGAGCTTCAGTTGACCTCTGGGAAGATGTTGGGGATTCACACGGAAATAACCAGGGCCAGCTTCCACACTGGACACCCATCTGCTGTGTGACCAGGGATAAGCCATGTAGCCTCTCTGTGCCTATTTCTTCATGTATAAACTGGGACTTACGATATTTGCAAAATGTATCGTCACTCTCAGGGCAAACTTACTCTACTGCTATACAACTAAGATCAGTGTTGTAAGCTTAAACTGATCTGCTTCTAATTGCTACAAAGGCCAAAGCCCAGGCATCTGAAGTAGAAAACACAGAGGCTGTATTAGCTGATTGATATGGAGACGGTTGGGCCAAGAGCCAGCACTTTTTCTGTGTAGCAGTATGGCTGGTTTTACTTGGAGAAGCTCTGTTCGGTTGCTGTAGAACTTCCAGCCTGGTAGAAGAGGTGTCGGTGTGAGCAGTAGGGTTTTCACAGGTATGAACGGTGGTGATACAAGCTGATGTTGCTGTAGCCAGCTGTGAAGGCGTGGCTTGTGGCTGATACAGTTGTATTTATAACTTTGAATGCTAATCTTAAAATCCACATTTTTAAAAATATTACTTTTCTAAATCTTTGATAGTTTGTGAAGACTCTTTCCTTGTAAGCACCAAGACAAGAACAAGAAAGAAGGACACTGGGCAGTGAGAAAGGCATTGTGGGAAATGAGAGTGAGAGGTGACAAATCAAAGAGTGGGAGTGGTCTGCGTGATTCATCCCTCTTCAGACACCTCGGGGACAGCGTGACACCTAAAAGCTCTTCACTGCTCGCTGGCTGTGGCTTTAAAACCCTGGAGGAGTCACAGTCTTATTTAGAAGCTCCCTCAGCTCCATCGTAGATGTTTTACCCCAGATCCCAGGGTCACTTTGGGATTTGCAGGCCTCATTACCCTCTAGAAATAAGGTGTAAAATTTACAACCAGACTGGCCATCAGCATCCAGACTGTCCTAAAAGTCTGTCCCAACTTCACACGCTGCATCCAGCACGTCTTAACCACTCCAGCTCCTGAGACACTGGGTATAAGCCACCGTCTTGAGGCAGATAAGGGGGATGCGCAAAGGCTGGCTTCTCACATCCCAGAGATTCTGTATTGTGATTGTTCCTTCATTTTTGTAGGAGGATTTAGCATTTCTCTCAAAAAAATGTAAAACTCACCCTCCCTTGCTAAGTTTTAGCCAGTTTTTCAAGGAAAGCCAATTTTTCCAGCACCAACTTTAAGAAAGATGCAGCATCCTTTGAATGAAAAAGAAGTGGGGTGTATGCATGTGGTTTGATTCTAGATTGCATTTGGGTTTAAGTGGTATCAAATTTCAGTACATTTCTGTCTTATGTTCAAGAAATATATTACTAAAACGTCAACGAGCAATAATGTCAGCTGTCAAGCACTAGATTTATTTTTGCAGGATATGGAGTGCAATGAACTGAGTCAATATGGTGAGGTGTATGTGATCTGTGGGAGTTATGCCATTTAACAAGGCCATGCATAGGACTTTCCCTCCGCATTCCAGCATTACTGTACCATTGGAAGACACGGAATTTTACTGTTATACAAAAATGCATCCATATAGCCATACAGATGGACCTGGAGAATGCAGGAGTGTCTGTCATAATAAAGAGCATTTCTATCTATTTATACTTTTCACTTCTTAGATACATTTAAATTCTTAATGCAAACAGTGTAGCAATTTGAAGACTTCTCCATGCTAACTGTGTTTCAAATGGCTTGCTTTAACTATGAAAAATGATGAAAGTGATTATCACTTTATTTGAAGGTCAAATGTTACTCTTGACTTCAATAGCTTTGTAATAATTTTTCTCCGGAGTTGAAACCTTTTGAAAAATGACATGAAACTTTCATTAAGAGCTCTTTTCTTATGTTTGTTGAATATAGAAATTATGTAATAAAATTTCTTTATAAATTTTTTTTCTCTTCGCTTCCTAAAGACTCCCGTTTTTTTGACACAGTTGCATGGGTTATCAGACTGCTGTTTACCTCCTTACCAGGTTGCTGAGTCTGTTGTTTGTATAGAGTGAACCCTTTCCTCTCGGTAGGCTTTGAAAGTTGGGACTCTCACAACAGGGTTCAGTTCTACTCTTTATGGCCCAGGCCATGGGAAAAGCCCCTAGGGGTCTACAGGGATCGGGGAAAGGGAAACATTTGTGGAATCACTCAACTTCACCTCACCTCAGTAAAGTCTTCAGCAGCTTGTGTATGTTTTTGTGCTTAAAATACGGACCTTGGGGAGTTCTATCATGATCACTCTGTGGGTACAAATGTCAGAATGATACCATGCTGTTGCTCGGGCTCCTGGGAAAGAGTCTGACAGGAAACTTATACAGTGGTCAAGGGTTGGTCTTCAGGGAGATATGTGTAGAGTTCTCCACTGCTCACAGATTAATATTCATCTTAAAAAGTCATCTCTGCAGATGGGTTTTGGTTATGACTTGTTGAAATGTTTGATATTTTGTTTGTTTTGTTTTGTTGATTTATTTATTTGGGGGAAAAGAAATAGGGTGGTGAGATCTTCTGTTTTTCAACAAATTCTTCGAGTGATATTCCTGGGACCCTGATCCTCAGGCCACAGGATCAGCCCCATCTAGAGACTTGCTAGAAATACAGATGTGTAGGCCTCATCCTGGGCTTAATAAAAATTCTGGGCTGGCGCCTTAGCAATGTGTGTTTTAGAAGGCTATTTATGTGATTCTGGGGTTTGTTCAAGTTGGAACCACTGCCTTGAAACTCCGAGTAAGAAAACTTTAGTTAACTTTCATTGCAAAAGCATCAGTTTCTGACTCTCAGAAGTGGCCTGGTTTATCATCACTCATTCTTCTGAAGGAACAGATTGGGACGATTTCTCAGAGCTTCGTGTCTTTCACCTGTTTCTGTTGTTCCTTGTCCACTCATCTTGTTCTGGAGGATTCACCTGTCCTCATTAAATAACATCCTCTTGATTTCTATTCATACTTCTGGGATGAACAGGAGCTCCAACAGTGGACCCTAACAGGGCCTTTCTAGAACCCCAAGATGTCCATGGTAGGGTTCTGCCCAGTAAATCTAAGAATTAGAGAACAGATCTCATTGTATAAATTTATACAGAGTCTTCTCCATCTCTTCTGTTTCTTTGTTGCCTGTACCTTTCACCAGCATCATCATGGTTATTTGTTTTTGCAGTGCTGGGGACCAAACCCAGGGCTTCGTGTATGCTTGGGAAATGTTCTACCACTTAGCCACATCCCAGCCCATAATCCTGATATTTTTACCCCGCAAGAGATTTCTGCAAAGGTGCCACATACTGGATTCTCAACTTTTCTTTTTGTCAGAAGAATGCTATTATTACCCATATCTTAAAAACAAGATGACCTGTAGAAGACTCCAGAATACAAAAAAAAGTTGAACTTAAAAACTATGTGGGACAAGCTCACAAGTACCCACCGCCAACTTCTAGTCAGTGTTCAACTAAGCTCCATATATCTGATAAAAATTTTACCATTTTGATGTGGAGCCTAAAAAAAATGCCCCAGGCTGAAGAAGAAGATTCTGGCAAGAACTTTTCCTGTCCAACGGTTCTTAGAAACTATTCTTGTCCTGGACCAATTTTTACAAGTATTGGGCTGAGGGTAACTGTAGGCTCCACGTCCACGGTCCGTGCTAATCTTCTCTGCATCGTTCCAGTTGTAGTGTATGGCCGCCGAAGTGAGCGCTAGGCTCCAAACCAGGCCGTTCTGAACACCACCCTCCACTCACACCCGAATGGCGGCCACATGAGCACTGAGCACCCGTGCAGTCCCATGGGACAGGACCAGAGTGACCTGCGATTTGGGAGCCAGATCAGAGCCTCAGCTCATATGAGAATTTCCCAGTTTTTAGTTTGATTGCAGACCATGCTAACTTCTCAGATTATAGAGGCTAGGGAGCCTTCTTTCTTTCCTTCCTTGTTTTTCTTTCTTTTCTTTCTTCTTTCTTTTTCTTTCTTTCTTTCTTTCTTTCTTTCTTTCTTTCTTTCTTTCTTTCTTTCTTTCTCTCTTTCTTTTTCTTTCCTTTTTTCTTTCTTTTTCTTTCCTTCCTTCTTTCTTTCCTTCCTTCTTTCTTTCTTCTTCTTTCTTTCCTTCTTCCTTTCTTTCTTTCTCTTTTTTTCTTTTTCTCTTCCTGTCTTTCCTTCCTTTCTTTCTTTCTCTTTTTTCTTTTCTCTTCCTTTCTTTTTCTTTCTTTTCTTTCTTTCTTTCTTTCTTTCTTTCTTTCTTTCTTTCTTTCTTTCTTTCTTTCTCTCTCTCTCTCTTTGTACTGGGAAACAAACTCAGGACTTGCCAGCCAGAACTTGTTCCACTGAGCTATGTCTTAAGGTTTTCAAATCCCCTGCATTCAGTGTCTACCCACTACTCCCAACAAACACAAAACTGCACTCTTGTTATTATCCAGACTGGATTAGACCTGACAGGCTTTTCTGGAGTAAACAGAAAAGCTTACTAGCCATCATTAACTGCTTAGGGTAGAGATACAGAAGCACAAATAGCCAAAAGCAAAGCAAGGGAGGTTTTGTATTTTGGGCAGCCCAGGAGAGAAGATATGCCTGTCTGAAGCTGTATTCACAAGGCTTTCAATTTCACGCTGGACTTCTCACCTCAATGATATGCATTACATAATCTCTGTAAGTCAGTTACTTGCTCTGTCATCTCCAGTGTGAGGTGGGTGGTCTTATCCTCACCTTAGAGATGCTGGCCCTGACGGCAGAACAGTTGCAATGATCATCACTACACTGCACAGCCAAGCTCAAGTTGAAATCCAGGTTCATGTGACTGCAAGCTGTGTGTCCCGCTCCACACTGAACTGTCTTTGACGCAGAGTACTGGCTATGTGTGCATTCAGTGACAAGTAGGCTTTAACCTGGGGGTAAAAGTTTATATCACTTAATTATTTCAACTTCATTGCAATTTGTCCTTCCAAAATATATTTTACAGTGTGACTGCATTAGTTCAGAGAAGGCTAAGTAAGTGCTATGTGCTCTGCAGTTTTTACACTTTGTGACAAAGAGTTTCATTTTTTTCCTTGAACTTAATCACTTTAATACTTTTTAAAAATTCCTACCTCCAAGGGGGAAAAATAAGTCATACGCTAGCCTCATTGGGGGAAAAAGGATGCATAGATGTAGTATTAAAGATGCATTTGACTATAACCTCCAGTTTCTGGCAAAATTGATTCAGTTAATCCTTCCTTGTCTAGAAAGACATAGAACCTGGGTGGTGAGGCTGGGGACTAGGGTGTCCTTACCGCCGCCCCTAATCAGTGAGATCCTGCAGGGAAAAAGTGGAGGAGGGGGACAGTATGTCTAGAGCACGTCTGTGGGGCATATGATGGACCTATCCCAGGAGCCGATGGAATAAAGGGGTTTGTTTCTGTTTGATTACAATTCCTGACAGATTGATAACCGCACAGGCATTCAGACTTGGGGCTTGCCCCCCTTCCCTTTAGCACTACAGCTTGTGAGGCTCGTCTGCATCTGGTGTTTGTTAGATGACTGTGTTGCATCATCCTCCCGATTCCTGGGGAACATCTCCCGGCATTCCCGCGGCTGGAGAGAAGACCATGGGGCACAAAATGGCCCCATCCGCTTTACATCTTCATTACTGTGCGGCTCACATACTTGCTTCCATCTGGAAAAAATCTCCAGGTAAACCTCTTGGGCTCCTTCTCTAAAGAGTAACTGTAATTATTAGGGCTATACCCAAATTCAGCTTAGAATAGGTATGTGGTTGAACTTCAGCCAAAATCCTGTGCCTGACTAAAAGAGATTTTCTTTCTTTTCTTTTTTTTTTTAACATCAATTACATGGGAGAGGCCTTTCCCCACACATGGCCATTGGGGTTCCTGATTATCTTCACCCAAGGTTTCTAATGCGCTGTGGTAAAAGACAAGGAGCCTTATCTGAGAAAACAGAGACTTTTTCAAATCTTCACCTGTTTCTTTTCCTCAGTACTGTCCCAAATTTCTAGTATGTGTTGTAGAACATCCCAAATTTTACAAATGCCAAGTCTTTTCTCTACTAAGCACTACCACATACCTTGCATGACTCACTGATAGTACCAAAGGAAAACAAAGCAAAACCAAAAGCCCTGCAAACAAAGCCAACTGTGGTCTCTACTGTTTCCTGCTTGTGCTCCTTGTACGGACGGAATTCATCCATTCAGCACACTTTCAGTAGGTTACTACTGTGCCAGGCACTGCTAGGCACAGAAAACCCAACACTCAGACTCCGTGCTCACAAGTAGTTGGATAAGTGGGTGTGTAGCTGACCACACACAATGTTGGCCTGTGGCCGAGGGTTATACAAAGGTGTGAACGAAGCGTAATGAGAACGTGGCAGGAGAATGAATGATCCTCCTAAAAAAGGAATGGAGCAGGAGTGGCCATCAGAGAAGGCTTTAACAGAGATGGGAGAGATGCAGAGTCCTGGGAACCATGTAGTCTTTCATGTCGAAGAGAGCAGAGCAAAGTGGCCCAGAAAAACAGAGACTTGTGGTCTTCAGGTTTTTCAAATCGACTTCTGGTTATTTTGATAAGTTTTCTAAGATCACACTGTAAGATGCTTTCTCCTTTGTATTTGTATGTACTTTTATATTTACATGAGAGAGAGAGAGGGACAGGGACAGGGACAGGCACAGGGAGAGAAAGGAGGACCATGGAGCTTTCAGCGGTCATTTCTGCCTTCTCTGTGTCCTGCACATCTGAGGGGAAGGCAGCTTCTGCAGCGCCTCCCAGACCACTTCCATTGTTGTTCTGCTACCCCTGCCCCAGGGCAGGCTACCCTCAGTTTATCTGTATTACTGCAATGTTTGCCAAACAGGCTTCTGTCTCGAGGCTCTCTCTCTTCCTCCAGGCTCAGCAGTCAAGCTAGTAATGGTTATCTGGCAACAGCCCCTGTCGGCTG